CCCGGGCCGCACGCATGCCAGGCGAGCGCGCTACCGCTTGAGCCACATCCCCAGCCCAGTCCTTGAGGTCTTTAATGTGATGGTTGATCATTAGAAATCCCCATGTTTATTTTAATATACTCTCTTGGCTTGCAAGGCCTTGGGTAGGCCTTCAGTATATACCTGGTCCTAGTTATGGTTTTCTTCTTCAGCCTTCCAGGTTTTTATTTTTGAGGATGAAATTCTTTGTATCCAGCAACATGCTGTTTAAGTAGGCAGCAGCCCTGCTTTCCTGCTCCTAGGACACATATGGTAGAGAAATACACAGAGGTCAAAGAGAGAAGCCTCAGGAGCCTAGAGGCCTTTGGCAGAAGTAACCCGAACAAGCCCGGCCCTGCCCTTTCACTGAGCCCCCATATGCAAAGCAGAGCAGTACCTCCTACTTTTCCTACTTTCCAGTGAAAGATCAGCCTTGCTATTCCCTGGGAATAGACACTCCCAGGAAGCAATCAATCACCTACTGCAGAGAGTGCTGACTCAGGAAGCTTCTGTGTAAGACGTGTACATGCCCCTGTCAAAGAAGTAAGGGTAATACCTGCCAGCTGCTGTGACCTACCTGGAATACTATGCTCACCAAAACCAAGCCAGATACCTGAGTGGATTTTTTTTTTTTATGGAGGAGTGTGGATATCAGGGGTTGAACTCAATGAAACACAACCACTGGGCCACATCCCGAGCCCTGTTTTGTATTTTATTTAGAGACAGGGTCTCACTGAGTTGCTTAGTTCCTTGCAGTTGCTGAGGCTGGCTTTGAACTCATGATCTTTGAACATTTCTAGAGTAGGGAACTTACTTGTCACATCTAAAGGTGGTCTTCATGTCACAGGCAGGAACTTCTACTTGACATACTCACCTCTGTACTCAGGGAACTTCCATCCTTGCCCACCAGATTATATCACTGCCCCATCTGACTTCATCTCCACCCAGGTAGTTCTAGATCCAGATCCACAGAGATATTGTAGGTGACCACAAAGTCTAGCAAACGTGGTGATAACCACAAGTGACCCACAGCTCTGGTAAATAGATCCCTGAGAACTCAGACCTCAGTCTCCCATGTAAGCCTCTGGTAGTTCAAATGTGCCTTGAACCTCTTGTGTGGTTGCATAGATAACAGGAAGCACTTGCATCACAGTGGTCACCTGGGTACTGAGACATGAGTCGCTCGGGGTATGTGTCAAGCTCAAACCTTTGTGGCAGTGTGCAGGTGCAGGTTATAGACATTGCAAAGGCACCTGGCTTTAGAATGTGCATTTTAGTGGGTCAAAGCAGGTGGTTGAGTTCAGGCCACAAAGGTCGGATTGGGAGCCTTGTTGGGTCTGGCTGTGGTTCCTAGCATTGGGACTGCATTGGGGATGTGCATGTGACTCTCTTTTGGGGAGTCTTCTTAATGTCTGCACATGCACTTTGGGGCTGTTTTTCTCCCGAAGAAAAAAAAGTGCTTGGGAAGACCCCAGAGCTGTATGCCTAAGTACTGGGTGGGGCAAGTGCACTTCTTCTGGGCCTCAAACCTGTGGGCCTCTGGACCTTATCTGTTACTTCTTTTGCCTTGCTGTGTGTGTGATATTTTTTGGGGGGGGTGGTAATTTTGTTAAAATATGCCTGAGTCAGGTGATTGCTTGAGAACAAGCATGTATTAGAAACTTCAGAAAGGGATTTGTTGGAAGGATTTTTTTTTTTTTTGGTACCAGGATTGAACCTAGTGGGGCTTAACCTCTGAGCCACATCCCCAGCCCTTTTTATATTTTATTTAGAGACAGGGCCTCACTGAGTTGCTTATGGCCTTGCTAAATTGCTGAGGTTGGCTTTAAACTCATGATCCTCCTGCCTCAGCCTCCCAAGCCGCTGGGATTACAGGCATGTGCCATCATGCCTGACTGTTGGAAGGATTTTTAAATTTTAGATTTTGTAGTACTGAGAATCCAACCCAGTGTGTCACACATGCTAGGCAAGTATTCTACCACCTGTCAGTAGGATTTTGAATCTGTAAGGCCATATCTCATATCATCAGAAACAAAATTCCATTCTCAGATGCACTTTTCAAAATCCAAGGAAACAGAAAACATTTTTGTTTTTTAAATTGATTTTCAACTTACA